TCTAGGATCTGTGATTTAATTAATTCTGCTGTTTTTATCTGGAATCCCTTTGCTCCTCTGCAGCAAGACTACACTCACTAAATTTAAATATTGAGAATGTTCACTGCCAACCAATTTGTTATTCTTGAAAGATTTGTGGGACAATTCTATTACTATTAAACCTTCTTGCAAAACATAAACATCTTAGACTGTATCTTCTACTTTGCCTATTAATCCAAATAATTCAATTTATCTGAAGAAACTGCAAATGAAAAAACACAGTAACTAACTTTCCAGTATCACCACTTCAAAATTTGGATATTTTATTTATTTTATAAATTAATATGGAAAGGCAAAAGAAAATACTGGAAATTAAGAAAGATTTGTCATATGGGCTCTTCTGTAACATCAATGTGTAAACTTGAAAAATACTAACATTTTAAAATCTTGTACATCATTATAATCTTCTAACCATGATTCTGTACTTCAGTGAAAAAATAAATTGAAGCAAAAAAGTTTTTGTGTGTAACAGGATGGGGATGAAACCCATCAGTAATTTCCCTAAAACATTGCTTAGGTTCATTTTTGCTTAATTAACTTGCACCTTCTTTCATAGTGCAGAAGATTAGAATTAGCATGCTCAGTAATAGGTCGGAATAGGTCCCTACCATACCCAACCCAACTGAAAAGAAAAATATAATCTAGTGACAAAACTTTCATAATTAACAGTCAAGATTTGGCAAATGGCTTTCCTGGGTCCTGAAAGTGTAGGAATCATGGTCTATACCAAAGTGGAATCATTGCCTATAACAAAGGGTTCTGCAGGACAGTGAATTCCTGACTGAAGTGTTGAAGTTAGTTCCGTAATTCCAATAATATTTTTAATGTCAGAATTCAATTACCTATTGAGTGTGCTGTTAGTACTCTTGTCTTTCTAGAAGATTTGTTTGAATATGCAGTTTTCTTTATGATTATTGTCTTTTGTTATCTTTTCCCTGTATTCATAATAAAAAAGGTGATAAGCCTGAGACCTCATAAAAGTACTTCCCCCCCCCCCTTTATGCGTGTGGAGCAGTGGTGTTTTTAAACACAGAAAATTTTCAAAATCTGCAAATACTTAAAAAACTTCATGTGAATTGCTGTACATGCTATAAGCATGTTTGGGGACTATGGTAAGAAGAAGTATCAGTAGTGATCTAACGTCAGCCTGTCATTAAATACACTAAAAATTAAAGATGCTGGTAAACTAAAAGGCCTGTTCATTAAAAAAAAAAAAGGTGTACAATTCTACAGAAACAAGAATATAATGTATAACAAAGTGGAACTAATTTTCGATTTTATGGGAAAGATGTAATTTATAACCCTGAATAAGAGAGATATTATTAGAAGGTTCATTTCTGGTTATACTGCCAAATCAGCAGTGTATTCTATTCACTAAAAAAGCTATTGCCTCAGACTTTAGGAGATCAATAATACATTGTGGTTTTCTAAGTATACATATTGTAGTTAAGGTCAGTATGTGAGTGTTACCCTCCTAAAAAATGCGAGTGTCTTGCTCCAAACATCACAGTATTTTTAAGATTTGTGATCCTGACTGCTGCAGGAAAAGGTGTTTTAAGTTTATTGCAAAACTATTCTTGGTCAGTGTCTTAATTAAAGTGTTTGCTTTGATCACATTAAACAACATACAGTAGTGAATGATGGTTCAAAAAACTAACATGTTAATGAAAAAGTAATGGCTTTTCTTTTTCTTTTAAAGGAAGTCACAGTTTTACTATAATTAACACTATCATGATACATTAAAGATAAATCATGTATAGGTAACTACACAAAGAAGAAAGGACAACCTATTTTATGTAATTCTATTTCTATGCTATATTTCCTTTCTTGTTTGTTTTTTATTAACAGAAAGATGATCTCTTTATTTAAGAAAGCAACAATAAAAACAGAATAGATGTGTTTCTGTTCACAGGGAGGATCACATTGTGATTTGTTTTAAGAATGGGAATAAAAAGAATTCCTTACTTCTCCAAAAACACTCTCTCTAGAAATCTGAGTATGAAGGTACTCAAACTGTGGCTCCTTTTCTTTATCTGACCTGGTGCAATTATCCCTTTCAAAATTTATTAATTCAGTGTTTACTATACTAAGAGGCTTTATATTTCGGGGGGGGGAAGTGAGTATACAAATAGGACTCTACTTTTTATATTTAATATTTTTGCCATCCTCTATTATGTTGAGCATGTTTGCATACATCTGAAAAATTTAAGCACGGTGGTTAAGATTTTATTTGGAGTTCACTGTAATACACAAGCTTATAAAAATTTAATCTGTGTGTAGATGAACGAGCACTGTTTTTTCAAAGTTGTTCCCCGGGAAATTCTGCAGCCAATTAGAGCTGGTGAAGGAACACTTCAGATGGAATGTCACCCATCCTTTTTAGCAGTTTGGTTCCCTCACAGTTTCCTGTGGGTCGTGGAGTCCAAGGAGAGCAGGAGGCAAAGCTGTACTTTGCATGTGGGAGGAAACACAGATTTTGTCTGTACTCCTGTCACATCTCTCACTGCCTCCTCTTTGTATTCAGCTCTAGTCTGACAGGACATGTAAAAGCAACAGAAGTGTTAAGTCAGACCTTCCAAGCTCCTTGAGGAAGGGATTGGGTTTTGTTAATGGTAACTAAGGATGTATAACCTGCAGTGTGGCCACTTGATGTGCCATCTTAACCTGTGGGACCTTTATCTGTGATGTCTTGCACTAGTATTTCATGTCAGGCAGGTTAGGAAGCATCTCACTACTGAACCAAGAGTTGGAGAAGAATTCAAGTCTGAATTCTCACCCATTACCCCCAAAATCTAACCTTGCAATTAGCGCTTCTTTCTTTTTCACTGTGTTAATTCCAAAAGAGAACAGTATTGAGACTCATGGAATCAGAGTAATTTGGGTTCTCTTTTTGTCTCTCCTGGAACTTAAGGCAAAATACTACTCACTATTTCACTATTTTGAAACATACCCTGAAGCTTTTCCTTATGACCTTCTTTTTGGATAAACTTTCCTTGTAAGATGTTAATACAGCCAAAAAAGGGAAATATTGCAATGTTGTAGGCTCTCTGTAATCTGAAAAGATCCTTCTAAATACCCACAAATACTTACTTCTGTGTTGGCTTTGCTTGTTGAACAACTCCTTTGGAAATAATCCTTAAATTAATAATTTTTAAAACAGTCTTTATTCTCACATTACAAAGTAGGTGTTTTCATACAAAGCCTTTCTGAACATCCATTTAGGCACCTCAGCGGGAACTCTGGTGTTCTCTGGTTGGGAATCTTGTAGCTGCACTACCCATTGACTTCAATGGGATTTTTGAACCCTGAGAAGCCATAGCAATTAGCTTTTTTTTTTTTTTTTCTCCTACGTGTGGATTTAGACACCTGATTTGAGGAATTCACATTGAGAAATACTGATATGAGTATGGAGTTTTTCTCTCTGTCTTTTTAGAAATCAAAAAATTGAAATGTTCGACGGATTAAAGAAAAACAACAACAACAAAATCAAAGAGGGCCGTGGCTGGAGTGTGCTCTGAGCGCGGCACTTCCACAGGTGCGACACCTGGCAGGGGGTGGGGTGGCAGAGGGCGGCAGATGTTACCAGCTCACACACCACACCCACGCCCCCGAGGAGGTGGCTTCCCTATCCTCACCCACGCTCCCGGTATCTGGCGAAGGAATTAATAATTAAAAAAAAAAAAAAGAGAGAAGGAAAAAGAGTAAATGTTGCGGGGATGCCAGGACCGCCTCACGCCTGCTTGTCTCTTGCATCCCCTTGGTGTAACTTTAAGAAGCGATGCCAGCGGCATCCCAGTGGCCGCCGGGGCGGGCCCCCCTCTCCTGCGAGACGGAGGAGACGCGTTTAAAGGCCCGCACCCCCCTTAAACCGCGGCCCTTCCCGATCGGAGCGCACCCCTCGGGATGCGATTTTTCCCTTGCCTTGTCGACTAACCCCCTCTAGCGCCGAGCCCGCCGCACTCGCCCCGCGGGCCGCCGGCACCGGGCGAGGCGAGGGGGCGCTTCCCTCGCCCGCCTCACGCCCCGCGCTCCCCTCGGGCGGGCGGGCGAGCGAGGAGGGGCGGCCACTCCTTCGCTCTCCATCCCTCCCTCCATCCCTCCCTCTCTCCCGCTGCCCCAGCTGGCTGGCGGGGCTCGGTGCCGGAGCGCCCCCGGCGCGGGGCCGCGCTGGCTCCCGGCGGACCCGGCCCCCGCCGCGCTGGGCGCAGCGGGGCGGCCCCGCGGCCGCGCCGGAGGAGGAGGAGGAGAGGAGGGGAAGACGACGAGAGCGCTCCCGCGGGCGGCAGCGGAGCGGCGGCACCAAAAAACTGCGGCACGCAAATCAGGAGGGAGCAGCGAGCATCACACCAGAGCCGCCCGGTTTCTGATTGCTCCGCGGCAGGAGCGGGGAGAGACACACACACACACTGAGAGAGAGGGGCGAGTGGCGGAGACGGGGGGGACGGCGGCGGGAGAAGGTTTCGGCGATGCCGCCCTGCAAGTTTTGCTTGATGCGTTCGGGAGAGTGAAGGAGGTTCGCCGGCACTTCTCGCCCTCCTGCCCCGGGAGCTCGGCGGGGCGGGGGCGAGACACTCCAAGCCTGAGAAGCTGAAGCCCCTCGGCGCTACCTCCGGCCGGGGATGCGGGGCACCGTGCGGCGCGGCCGAGGGAGGAGGCTGGTCCCGCCGACGAGGCTGCTGAGGCTGCCAGGGGCGCTCCTGCGGGGCTGAAGGTGCCACCGGGCAGAACCGCGGGAGGGAGCGGGGCGCGACCCCCGAGTCCTCGCCGCCACCGCCTCGAAGTTGCCGGAGCTCTCCCGGTTCCCAGGGCGGCTGCCGTGCTCCGGGACCCCGCCGGTGGATGCTCCCGCCCCGGCCCGGGCAGCCCCCAGTGGCATCGCGGGCAGTGCGGGCAGCGCATCCCGCGTCCCCCCCGCGCCGGCCTGAAGGAGGACGGGCAGCCCCCGCGGGCCGAGGGCACGGGGAGCACCAGCCATGGGGTGTTGTGAGATGAAGGGATTATTGCTCTGGAGAGTCGGCCTCTTCCTCCCCCTGGTGACAGCGCGCCCCGCCGCCGCCGGGCACGTCGCCAGCAACCACGGTAAGTGAGGACGGCCGAGGCGAGAGTGCGGGTCTGGGATCCCCGCAACTTTGCGGCGGGGTGCGGAGATGGAGGGAGTGGATCCCCCTCTGCTCGGTGCCCATTCTCTCCCGGCCCCTGATGGGGGCACAGGGATGCGGGACACGGCGCCGCCCGGAGACCACCGCTCCCTGCCGCCTGTGCCCCGCACAAGTTGGGTGTTTGGGGACAGCGGGGCTCTGCTGCCCATCCCGCCCCGACAGGGCGAGGTGATGTCCCCGCTCAGCGGGATAACGCCCCGGAGCTCCCCACAGTCTGCCCGGTCATCGCCGGCCGCCGTGGTTTGGGAGGAGCAGCATGTCACTCGAAGGTACCTCCCGGTGTGACGGAGCGGTGGCATCCTTTCACTTGAAATGTGGTTTTAAGGTTTACCTTAAAAAGGTTTACCTTAGAAGGCTTTACCTTGCCCAATGCAGAGCACCTCCAGCATGGGTTTGGGAGAGCTCACCGAGCGTTAAGGGAAATCACTGCTCGTCCGAGAACTGCCCAAAGGCGTCTGACTGTCCTTAACACCCAAAGGCGTCTGACTGTCCTTAACACCCAATTTGTGCGTGCTACGGTCTGATTGTCCGGAAAAAAATCCCGTTTAAAATCTCTGTAAGAGATGCGTGCTCATCAGGTCTTGCCGAAGACGGTGTTTTAATTCGTGTTGTAAGGTGTACGTGTAAGAAAAATACCTCCGAATTATGAAGGGAATCATTCTGTTTGTAAAAATGAAAATGCATAGCACACCTAGAGGATATAAAATATGATTCGGAAGGACTGAAGAAGCCCAAACCTGATTGTGAAACATGTTACATATTATCAAACACCTGGTAGAACAGAGTATTTCCTTAACTGCTTGGTTTTTGTACATCTCTCTATTTAAGTTATAGAGGATACACCTATTCCTAAATTTTGAGTCTTACATACTTTTAATATTATTTTTGTACAGTTTTTCTTTTTTGAGGTTTTAGTGTGATACGACTGAAATGTGGGAATTGAAGAGTATTGAATGAAGCAACTAAATGTTGCTTCTGCCACAAATTATTTTACCTGCTGTAATGAAAGGAGTACTGAAAATGGTTGTGGTAGAAATGATGGTGAGAGAACACAAACTGGGCTTAGCCATGGAGTGCTATCAAATATACAGTTCATGTATTTTCACATTTTTGTTCTACAGTCTATTTTCAGGGTTCATTTTATCCACCTGAGTAACAGTGAAAACAGAGAATAAAATACCTGGAAAAGAGGAAAGTAAGATAGTATGGCCACAAATACCCTGTGCCATCAGCGTGAGTTATGGCAGGGACATTCCAAGTTACTATTATTCCTTTACATCTTCTATGCTGAATGTGATGAATAATTCCAGTTTATAATAGTATAGGATAGAGTCATATCAATGCTATATTAGATTTTGCCCTTCCCCATGGCTTAGGAGACATCAGACTCTCACAGTAATACAACACAGTTTTCCTTTTATGTCACAGACACTACTGCATTCTCATATCTGCTACATTACCACAAGGCCTGACAAGACACACGAATGAAGTTTGAAAAATAATCTATTGCAGGCATCTGCATCAAAGGCAAAGAATTTTTAGCAAGTTAGGCTAGGTTTTAAACTAGTATTTGATGTTCTAGGATTAAATTTTAATTAGTGTTTTAAAAGGAAAGTGAAAAATGGGGAAAATAGTTGCCAAAAGAATTTAGCCCAGAGAAAAGTCTGCCAAGGATGAAGTGGGTTTTTGATGTTGGCATAACTTTCCAACAAGTTCTGCATAGAGTATTGGGGAGTTACCTGACTTCTGAATAACTTCCCTTTCTTGCTTCAAAACTTCAAATAAAAGGAGCAACCTCTTGTCTTTGGTATGGTCGTAGTACCATACAAGTCAAACAATAAGTTTAACTCAAAAAAACCCAGATGAACTGAAAACTGACTGAATTAATACAGGTGCTTTAATGTGCACAACCCCACCTGATTAATAAAATTCTAGCAAGAAGAGTCTCCTTTTAATGATGACTTTCTCTAAATCCAGGAATTGAATGAAAGAATACTACAATAAAAAAGTTGCCTCATTGTTGAAGCATTTCAATGTGCAAGTTTAAAATGCTATTTACTAACATTTGGCATCTCGTCTGTAGAGGATTTTTTTAAATCTTGTGAGGAAATATAATCTCTTAAATTTTCATAAAGTGATATTTTCATCATGCACCTCTTGGAAACATGTTTGCAATAATTGCTGTTGTGTTTTCACTAGTAATTATAATATTGATATATTAACTTGGTTTTGCTATCTAGTATATTTGGTCTTCTATTTTGTATTTAGAAACATATCAGCATTGATAATAAATTACAAAGGAATGTTTTGTTTGGGTTTCTTGATTTTTTGTGGGGAAAGGATGGAAGGGCAATAGGTTTATTAATCTGACTTGGTAAACAGACAGCCCTTCCACTTCTCTCTTACTGGTTTATTTCCTGTGATTAAGGAGGGATTTTTAAAAAATTAATATAATCCCATTTTATCAATTGGTATTATAACTATGTTGGGATTAATCTTTCTGCTTTCATCAAACAGAAAGAAATAAATACTTTGTTTTGTATAGTTCCAAGGCTCTTAGGTTGCCTTTCTTCACCCAGTAAATCAATGTGTGGTGTCTTACAGTATCTGTAACAAGGCAGACACAAACAATACTATTGACAGGAAAGCAAACTTACTCATTCATCTTAATGGAGTGGTAAGTTCAAAAACAAATTATGACCATGCCAAGGGCAAGTTTTTACTGCTAAGAAAAACCCTGCAGGTGTTCTGTGTAACAAAACTGCCTGAAATATAAGGCTCAATTAGTGGAGTTAGTTGAGTGCTTGCATGTCCGGGTTAAATTTCCAGGAGTTGTCCGTGACATCCAGTATGAACAAGTTGCATTACTAGGCAAGGTTTCTGCCTGTGTTGTAGCTTTGCTCTTTTATTGAAGAACACAATGAATTGGGCAATTGCTCTAAAACCTAAATTTACAGATAATAGCCTCTGTAGACCCGTGCAGTTCTTTGTGCAGGACATGTAGGAGGTTTTCAGATAAAGGTCACGTCAGGTAACAGCTCGATGGTACTCTGTGCTGTCTGTGCACACTTATATGTTTCTACTTATACAAACCAGAAGGAATTTTTGCATCATGGCTTCTTTCAGGTTCTATCTGCCATTATGTATCACCACACAATTAATTTCTGAAGTAAACTATAGAATTTGCAGAGTTTATAACACGTTATGTCTGTCAATGAACTGTAAAAGGAAGCTGTTGCTTTTTCAGTTACCAGGTACTGTTACATCTTGTCAGGTTATGCAAGGTTGGTCTCTTTACACATACCTCTAAAAGGCATCTGTATTCATTCTCTTCTTCTTACAAAAATATGGAGGTAAGAAATAATGTCATCAAGTGTCACTTCTCAAATTCACATAGCCTTCATTTTCACAACTACACTTGATGTAAATTGGACAGCTCAAAGTAAAGTTATTTGATTCTGGTATTAAAATATCAGACAGATTACTAATGACCTTATGTCATTCAGCAGTTGAAAGGAGTTGACTTATTTTTATTCACATATTTATTTTTTTAGAAGTGCAATCCCCCACAGATAAGCACTCTTTCTGAATACAGCTCTGAGAATTTTTCTGTAGGAACAAGGAGACTAAGTGTTTGGAGTGACTGAACTTTTCTCTGAATGAAACTGATGTTTTTCTGCTAGAGGATATCTCTCATTTTGAGGACTTAAAGCACTGTAAAGAAGGCTGTGCTGCTGCCTGTATTGTGTTAATCTTGCTGTTCAGTTGTCCAGCTAATATTTTTTATAAACAACCTTGCAGAAAAATTAGCAAATTAAATAAACAAAGCTTTTAGATGTCCCACATCATTATAGACTTGAGTGCTGGTGAAGACTTTGGAACCTCTGCAGTTGTAGACATACATGAAGTGACCTGTCATCAAAAGCCTTGATTTGTGTGCCATGAGATGAATAGATTTAAGATTCGTGCTTCTTGATATATTCCTGGTGGTGTGCTTGGCAGTACTGAGTGCTATTTGGGTATTTTGCTAATTGGACAAATGAGAATGATTGGTATGGAAATATTAAATATTAAAAAAAATGCATAGCTTAAGCAGATATAATTTAAAACCAAATCAGTACAGTAGTTTTTCATGTAATTTGCAGGTGTGGAAACACCACAGAGGAATTGAAGGGTTTCCTAAACTCTACAACTTGGCCTTGTTGAGAAACGAGGCAAGTAAAAATTTATGCTAAATATCTTAAGGTTTGATACAGAATGACCATTCTTATCCTTCTACAAATTTAACTCCTTGGTCAGATAGCACTTTTTTTTTTCAAATGGTTTACAAAGGAAAAAGAGGGAAGGAAAGAATATATAGTAAATTCAGTTTTTCTTAGGAAAATCTCCTCTTTGTTTCCAGATATATGTTTTTAGATCTGAACTCTACTTAAGGGTTTGTTTAGGATATCTGAGGTTGGACTTTTCACTTGAGAATTTTACAAAAGTCTAAAAGTTCAGTAAATTTTTTGTCAGTGAGACAAAGAGCAAGTCTATATCCATTTTTTGGCTATTTTTTTAAATTAAAAGTGTAACAGCTTTAAAATCTCCTTTAAATGATTAGAGATAGTTAGAAAATTATAAATATATGCAATAGGAGAAGCATTTTATTGTTATTATATCGAAATACAACATAGCTATGTTAGGATATATTCTTGTTCCAGCTGTGCATATTTCCATTAGGATCTCTGGATTTCTCTACCTTGGCATTGGCACAAAGAAGAGACTGACCTTTTGCTTGATAAGCCTGTTAACATCTGGGCTCTGTGACAGAGAGAATGGTAAATAGTATGGGAACAAACAAGTAGGTAAATAAATTATTTGCCCAAAATCTATCCTGACCTCTGGGAACCACATTATCATGCAGAAGAGGCCAACAAA